AGATTCCGGGGCAGGTCGGGCACGCGTCCCTCGAAACGAAACGGCCCCCAGCCTGCTGGGCGGGAACCAGGGGGGGCCCCTCCCAGACCATGCGGTGGCCTCGCGGGAGGCCTTGGCTCCCTGGAGCAGCCGCGCTGCTGCGAACAGTGGGCGCCTGGGACCCCGTGCGGGCCCGATCCCAGGCGCACTGCCGCAAAGCAAAATCAGAAGCAAGAACCGGCATAAACATTTATTGGTATGTTGTCGTTCATGTAGTTTTTTATATAAAGAAATGGCATAACCATGAACTGTTGACGCTCCGCGCGGATTTCTTGGATCTGCGCTGTGCCCCCTCCCTGGCGCGCGGAGAGCGCGCCGCGCCAGGGGCGGCGCCGGAAGCGCTGCCTGGGGGGGGGGCGGATCCGAGAGATCCGCGCGGAGCGCAAACAAAAATTCAGTACATGGCGTTATTTCGTTTCCGACAAACAAATTTGATGATTCCGACCGTGTGATCGGCTCTCAATGGCGATCTTGGTCACCAAATGCTTTCCAGATGCACGCCGGCTATTTTCAAAATTTCTGCTGCCATTCATTATGAACACGCCATGTGCATGTGCCTCCCCCGCTCTGACGCACGTACTGTTTCATCGTGGCGCGCGCGTGTTTAGCACGCTGCCGATTGCCACCGCCTGCGCCCTTCATGGGCTCGTCTTTCGGCGCACGGGCTTGACCTTGACCTTGACATTTCTTGTTCGACATGTGCCCGCGACGGCCCTCGCAACGCAAATGCCCCATTCCTGGGCAAACCGACAGGTACCGATGCCGCTGCTCCCCAGACCTCTCCCTGTGCGATGCGGTAGGACCCGAAGTTCGAGGCGAAGCCAGCGGTGGCGACGAGGACCTCCCAGGGGGCCCGAAGAGGGGAGAACTAGGCAAGGGTAGCGGTATGGTAACTTTAGGTCGGGCATGTCCCCCTACAGGCGGATTTTGGACGAAAATTGAAAATTGTCCATAAAATATTCAAGAATGGTCAGCAATAGTAAAACAATTGTGCCCAGGCAATGTTTTAAAGTATTTTTGAATACTCCTCATGTAGAAGGCTGTGCCTGACTTGAGATTCGCGGTCCATGGATCTGGCGCGCGGCCGCCAAATCCATGGATCGGGGGAGGTGCCCTCCCCAAAGTGCGGCCGGTGCCGCCTTGTCCGGCGGCGGCACTATCTGCAGTCTCCCATGGACACGGGGCCCGTCGCCAATCCACACCCTCTGGATCCATGCTTTTGAGCAGGGACCGACCGTCCTGGCATTCCTATAGTCCTACTTCGAAATGTTCTTAGAACCCAGAAATTTTCGAAGAACAAGAACCAGGTTCTCAGAACATACGCCCGACGTGTTCTTAAGCAAGACAGCATCAGCCAGACATGTTCTAAGAACATCTCCTGGAAGCCACAGAAAAGGTTCTCAGAACATTGCTTGGTGGGGCTCTATAGGCGAGCCAGGACGCTTCGCCACTGCTTGAGATCCCTGCTTGCGATCGCCCGAGCGCTACGGCGCCCGGCGCCGCAGCGGGGGGAGGGCCCCGCAAAGCCCCCGCGGGGCCGTGGGGTTAGCGCGCTCCGTGTGCGCTCACCGCGCGCGCGCGCTCCCGCCGCGCGCGCTCCACCCCCTGCCAGGGCCGCAGAGGCCGCGCGGGAGGGGAGGCGGCACCAGCACCACCCGGGCGAGGAGGTGCGAGGCGGCAAAAGCGAAGGGGGCCCTGGGACACATACACAAATCAATGCACACACAAATAGCAGCAATCCCCATAACTATTTTCCCATATGTTTTCAGGGTTTTCGTCTTCCCCCCCACTGCCCATATGTTCCCACAGTTTCCTGGGAGTCGAGGATTCATTGTGTCTGTGTGTGTGTTTTTTCCTCTCCTGAAAAAGGGGGGTCGTGTTCGAGCAGGGGCCGACCGTCCCGGCACTCCTAGAGGCCTACCACGACATGTTCCTAGAACCCCAAAGTGTTCGAAGAACAAGAACAAGTCTTCATAGAGCATAATATCGATGCGTTAAAACATGGCAGTCTCAGACAGAAATGTGCTAATAACATGTCGTACAGACCACAAAAGGTTCTTGGAACATTCCTTGGTGGGACTGTGAGCGAACCAGTGGTCCCCCCCCTCTCGCTCGAGAAGTCCCCAGCCCTCCAGCCCGGGGATGCACAGTGGATCTCTCCTCGCTGGAGGTGGGCGTCCTGGTGGTGCTGGTGTCGCTCCTCCTCCCTCCGAAACTGCTGCGGCGCCAGCCCGCTCCGCAGTAAAAGGATAGCCGGTGGCAGTGCTGCACAGGCTGCGCAGGCGCAGTGGGAACAGCCGCCATCGGAAGCCGACGCGCGAGCCGGCCGCCGCCGTTGCCGGTGCTGCGAGCTCGGCCCCGTCGCTCGCCTCCGAAGGACGCGCACGACCGCGCGCGCCACGGAGCGCTCCAGCCTCGAGCCGCCTCGGCGGGCGGCTCCCGGGGTGAGTTTGCCCGCCGA